AGAAAACTTCCCCTACCTGGTGAAAGAAATAGACTTCCAAGTCCAGGAAGCACAGAGAACCCCAACAAAAGGAATCCAAAGAGGACCATACCAAGACACATCATAATTAAAATGCCAAGAGCAAAAGACAAAGAGAGAATCTTAAAAGCAGCAAGAGAAAGAAAGTCAGTTACCTACAAGGGAGTACCCATACGACTGTAAGCTGATTTCTCAACAGAAACTTTGCAGGCCAGAAGGGAGTGGCAAGAAATATTCAAAGTGATGAATACCAAGAACCTACAACCAAGATTACTTTATCCAGCAAAGCTATCATTCAGAATTGAAGGTCAGATAAAGAGCTTCACAGATAAGAAAAAGCTAAAGGAGTTCATCACCACCAAACCAGTATTATATGAAATGCTGAAAGGTATCCTTTAAGAAGAGGAAGAAGAAGAACAAGGTAAAGATACAAATTATGAACAACAAATACACATCTATCAACAAGTGAATCTAAAAATCAAGTGAGTAGGTAATCTGATGAACAGAATGAACTGGTGATTATAATAGAATCAGGGACATAGAAAGGGAATGGACTGACTATTCTTGGGGGGGAAAGGGGTGTGGGGGATGCGGGAAGAGACTGGACAAAAATCGTACACCTATGGATGAGGACAGTGGGTGGGGAGTGAGGGCGGAGGGTGGGGTGGGAACTGGGTGGAGGGGAGTTATGGGGGGGAAAAAGAGGAACAAATGTAATAATCTGAACAATAAAGATTTAATTTAAAAAAATGTAATTGTTGAAACATTTAAAAAAAAATAAAATAAAATAGGATTGAATGTGTCCCTCACAGACAGATGAAATCCATAATACTTCATTTGTGTGACTCGTGTCCTTACATTTTGTCTAGTATCATTGTCGATTACAAGGTCATCTCTGAGTCTTAATGCAATATCCGTTCCCCAGCCTTTTTCACCATGTGGAAAAAGAACAGGATATGTCATTGCATCTAATGTAGGAAACAGGATATTGATTTGTTTCATTTTAGTGGCATTCAGATTATTGGGATCTGGTTTACAATGAATAAGCAAGTCCCTTTCAAAAGGAGGTTCTCCATCTTTGTTTCTGAATATGAGAGCAACCTTGGTTACACGGGGAGAATTACATCTACCTGGGCCACTGCTACGATAATTTTTAATTGCCGTTATTACTTCCGTGGGAACAATACCTTTTGCTGCTGCTTTAGATTGGGTTTCCTTTTCTACCTCATGTAGCATTTTGTACGATTTTGTTAATACTTCATACATGAGGTTGTTGATGTTGGTCCTGAGTCTTTCTGAGCAGCCCTGGTTTTCTGGCATTGCTAATCTTTTACTTGATGCTTTGGCCATATCTAAAATATAGAGTTGAGCAAACTTCCAAGAAACACCATCCGAAGGATGTAAAGTTCCAGTACGGTGATAAACTTGTCCGTGTATTCTAAAACAGTATGGACCATATCCTGATGGCGATGCAATATTTGCACCCATGGAAGCAAAAGCAAAAGAACTATTTGTGGAATGAGTATTTTCCCTGTCAGAATCTTTGTTTGTCATTAATTTTTTTAAATATGTCAGTTATTCTGGAAAATGTATATCATTTGAACAAACCTTACCTTTGCTTTAACATTGAGTAAATTTTCCATCAGATGGTTTTTATCAGATAAATTTAGTGATAGGCAAAATTGACATCTAATAGTCATTCTACCACAACTATGTTTGAGAATTGCAACCTCATGTACTCCATTTTTGCTGAGAAGGAAGTTCCTACCAGTATAGGTAGTACTTGTTGATGACTGTTCTTTAGACATATTCTGTTGTCCCCGCAGCCTTCTTTCAACTTCAGAGACACATTGGTCTTCAGACATTTTCTGTCGATGACGCCGGCTTCTTTTGGCTGCAGAGCTACATTGTGTCAATAGTTGCTCTTTAGACATATTCCCACCTCCCTGCTGTCAGGGTCTGGGATGCAGGTGAATGAGAGTCTTCACTGTCAGGCTGCTGAGAGCTGTCTGACCAAAGGCTGATTCTGGCTGATTCTATGAGGGATGAGACTCCTTCCTTCCTGCTGTCAGAGTCTGGGCAGGCACCCAGGGGGTACAGCATCAAGTCCGCCTGCACCAGGAGACCCAGAGTCAAGTCTCTACCCACTTGCGTGTGCCTCAAAATCCCGTGAGATCTAGACTTGCTTGCGCCCATGCAGACAGACACAGCATTAAGCTGCACAGAGCCGCGGGACCCCCCACAAAGCCACCCCCATGGTGCACAGGGCTGAGGAAACCCTGGTGGAAGCTGCGCAGAGCAGCAGCTGGGACCCACCCCCCAGCAGGGCTGGAGGAACTCCGTTGGCAGGTGTGGAGTGGCCACCAGGCCTCCCTCTGCTGGGCCATGGGAGCTGCCAGCGGCAGGTGCACCGAACAGCCAACCCCACCCCCCGCTGAGTGCGCGCCATCTTGTGATGGCATTATGGTGTGAAGGTTAATTTGCATATTACCTCTTTATTATATAAGATTATTAGGCTTAATAAAAGCAGTATATAAGAAAGTAGAAAGCTGGAGAGATGATACATTCACAGGCACACGCGCACACACACACACACACACACAATTTTTCGAATTCCCAAGAATTTACAAAATGATAAAATGATTGATTGGGCCAAAAATTTCAATAAGTTACACAAAAATAAGTCATGGATTTCAGTGATCTTAACATGACTCATAGTATGATACTTAGTCGGGCACATTAATTTGTAGTGCTTTCCAGAACTATTCTGCCTAATCTATATCATTGCTATTACTATCTGCAATGGTGAGTTAAGCTATATAATATGGATTTGGGATATAATTATATGATCCTATAAAAAAGTAATATACAAATTAACCATCACTCCATCCCAAAGATGGCAGTGGCCACAGAGCTGGAGCGATCAGGAGGCTTAGGTTGCCCCCGGCGATGGAGGAAGCCAAGCTTCCCACCTGCCCTGCTGGCCCTGAGCTCTGCTCAAGGCTACAAAGTTTCAATTATAGAAGATAAATAAATCCCAGATACATGCTTCCAGGCCACGTGGCCTCCGATCAAGGAGGGGCTGGGAACATGGGTTGCCAGCAGGCAACTCAGGCTTCGAGCGGGACCAAGGCAACAAAGTTTAAATTATAGAAGTTAAATAAATCCCAGATACCTGCTTCCAGCCAGGCCGTGGCCAGCTGGAAAACGGCCATCAGCCCCTCACCCAGGCTGGCCAGGTACACCAGCGGGACTCCCCACCCTAGAGGGGGTATGACCAGCCTGAAAATGGCCATCAGCACCTTACCCAGGCTGGCCAGGCACCCCAGTGGGGACCCCTACCCTGAAGGGGGTGTGGCAAGCCTGAAAATGGCCCTCAGCCCCTCACCCAGGCTGGCCAGGTACCCCAGTGGGGACCTCCACCCTGAAGGGGGTGTGACCAGCCTGCAAACAGTCCTCAGCGCCTCACCCAGGCTGGCCACACCTCCATGGGGTGAGGGTCCCCAATGGGGGGCTTGACCAGCCTGCAAAGAGCCATCAGCCCCTCACCCAGGCTGGCCAGGCACCCCATTGGGGATCCCCATCCTGAAGGGGGTGTGGCCAGCCTGAAAACGGGCCTCAGCCCTTCACCCAGGCTGGCCAGGCACCATAGCAGAACCCCCACCCTGATCCGGGACACCCTTCAGGGCAAACCAGCTGGCCCCCTCCCGTGCACCAGGCCTCTATCCTATATAATAAAAGGGTAATATGCAAACTAACCTTAACAGCAGAAAGACTGGGAATGACTGGTCACTATGACACACACTGACCACCAGGGGACAGACGCTCAATGCAGAAGCTGCCCTCTGGTGGTCAGTGCTCTCCCACAGTGGGAGCTCTGCTCATCCACAAGCCAGGCTGATGGCTGACAGTACAGTGGTGGTGGTGGAAGCCTCTCCCGCCTCCTCAGCAGTGCTAAGGATGTCTGACTGCAGCTTAGGCCTGCTCCCCGCTGGCAAGTGGACATCCCCTGAGGGCTCCTGGGCTGCCAGAGAGATGTCTGACTGCCAGCTTAGGCCCGATCCCCCGGGGAGTGGGCCTAAGCCAGCAGGTGGACATCCCCCAAGGTGTCCCAGACTGCGAGAGGGCACAGGCCGGGCTGAGGGACCCCCCTCCCCCACAGTGCACAAATTTTTGTGCACCAGGCCTCTAGTATTTAATAAAGCCAAAAGATACTGCTGTTAATTTTTATTTAAAAATGTCAAGGTGTTTCCATTTAGATCCTAACAAAGGAAAACAGGTGGGTGCTCTGGAATAATTTCTTAAAACCATATCACCCAACTAGTTACCTAAAAACACACTTTTTCATACTGAGGTGAGTACACATGAATGACCTTAGCTATTACAGTAGGGAGCATTGAATTCCATTCATATTTTCTTGATTCTCTCATGCCTATACTATTCAACTGTGAGTCTCACAATTTCTCTCTCCCACATTGCACTCCCTTTTTCTATTCTCTTACCACCTCCTTCTATACAGCAGCTTTTTGTAAGATTTCTGTGAGTATGAAAACCAGCTTTTATGGATTATGTATGGTCCAAATCTTTTTGAGTTGAATATTGACCTGGATTAAAATACTCAAAGCCAGAAATGCGTCTCCTATGTTTTCTTTCTCAAACTTTTATATCTTTCTGAATGGTGGAGGATTTTAGATCCAGAATAAATACAAGAAAAATACACAAGCGGGGCAGTTTAAACTTAGGTCAACTCAGCTACAGGATTAATGATGTTGAAAAATCACTTGTACAGATACTATATAAACCACTAAATCTGTACCTCAATATATAAGTGCCTTCATTAGTTCATTAAAATCCCTATATGCTTTCTTAAGGTTTTTTACAGAAAAGTAATTGTGATAAATTATGAAAAGTAACAATGTAACACTATAAAATTAAATATTTTTATGCAATTCTGATATGTATGCTTTCAAATGAGTACCTACATCTGCAGTCCCACAGTCACATGTTTCTCCATCTTCCACTTTTTTATTACCACAAACTCCAACTTTATATGATGGATCTAACTTTGGATGATTTCGAAGACATTGGGATTTTGGCTTTGAAATAAAATGTGCAAAATCTTCCATGCTGCAGTTACTAAAGATCTTCACACCACTGGAATGACTAAAAATACATTAAACTTCAAATTTTTATTCACACATTGTATCAATCAACTGCCTGCCCTGGGAATAAAGCTATTTAACATTCCACCCCAGAAAAAATACTCAACTTTGTTATTGTCAAATGTGCAAAAACGTACAGTAAATATTTTTAGTTGGAATAAATAATCAATAAAATTTTGTTGGATTTTATATTAGTTGTTTGTGACACTGTTTTCTCTTGCAGCTATAGACTTAAACCCTAGTCATTCAGATTATTTCAGGAACATGTTATTTCCATAAGGATGACAAATTAGGGAGTTTTGAACAAACTACCAGTTTTGATATTTTTTGTTATTGTCACATTCTGGTTGAACATACCCTTCAGTTATATTAACCATAATGAGTGAAATTATTATTGCATTGCCAACAATTCAGATGAATTTTATCTAAGTACCAGAAACCAAAAGGAGAAAAAGCAATAGAAATTTAATATTACTGAGAACCGGGCAAGGGAAGGTGTGTTTGCTATGTGTGAACTGGTCCATAGGGGATATATTTTTTGGTGATTTAATTTTTCATTAGAAAGAAAATATCAATAATAATTATATCGAATTGGAGAACTCCTTTTCGGCTTGAATCTTTGAACATATTTTCTGGATATTCTTATTCCCCATTCTCTCATATTTTCTTGATAACAGAACCTCTGATATTCAGTTCAGTACATAATTCCCTTGCATGAATGACTACATCTTTTAGCTTCTTGCAAAGTTAGGAATGGGCTGATTAAAGGTTAAGTAACTGGTTTAAAATGAAGCTATAAGTCTAAATTCTAGGAAGTAATGATGACAACAATGTTTCTAAGGGACCCTTTATTCTATTGGTCACTATAAACTTGGTTAACTTAATGTTGTAGTTAAAGCTTCCATCATGAGTGATGGCATTATCTTGGAAATGAAAGCCACTACGCAGAAATCAATGTGAAATGTCACACATTTAAGCATGTTTTTATTCCAATTAACATAGTGAGAGGACATGTTCTTAAAACAAGACAGCTTTTTTCTTTCTCTAGCAGCCAGTTTTAGGGCACCCCCATTTGACCGTTGGTGTGAAGTGACTGAGAAATATTGATGCAATAGATGGACATGCCATGGGGATTTACCTAGCATCCCTGTTTGTGTTATTGATTTGCACTATCTGGATTTTTTTAGCTTGTTCCAAAATAGACTCTTTTGGTCATCAGGTAGATTAATATGCCCACTTGATATTATAATTCTGTGGATCTGAATATACACAAATTATGATGAAAATATTCAACTTCAGTAACATAGTAACTTAGTGTTTCCTACATGCATGCTGAGCTCTACAAGGGGCCAGTGGCCAGGAGCTGAAACAGTACTCTGGGGGTCTGCACTACAAATATTTGATACTTGTCAGAGATTCCACATAAAACCTAGTCTACCAGGAATATCTTTAGTTTTTATTGTACCTTAATGGACATACATACCAAAGAACAAGACAATGCCCTGTCTGTACATCATCTCCTGTTGCCGTAAGATCACTTACTAATCCAGTTCAACAATCATTTCATAATAGTTTACTATAGCCACTTCTGGGATAACTATTTTTATATAGGTTCCTCCAAAATCAGAGCCTGAGATAAAAAGTTCAATGCAAGTACCTCTAGGAAATGATTGTGGAAGCAGGAGTGAGGAAATAGAGAAAGTGAGATGTTACCAAGTTTGTTGCTGAAAAACATCTAAAAAGCAGAAAATGCCTCCAAAATTGTCCATCAGAAAAATAAGAGGCTGGCTCTAGTCACTGACTGAATAATGGAGTCCCTAATCCCTGACTGTTTGGTTCTAATTTTATAAAATCTCAGAGTATACTTTAAGAATAATGATGGTAATAGCAACTTCTCTATGTTTTAAGGCATAAAAATGGTACTGCAAAAGGCCTCCTTTGATAACAAAGAAAAAGCTGAATAACAGCATCTATGAAATCAATAGATGCCAAGACTTCAGTCTGAGCCAGGGCAGAATGAAGGAGATTTATGCAGACAAGACCATATTAATCAATCATTCTTGTACAGTGATCACAAGCCAGTATTTGGCTTATCTGCTCAGGCTTAAATGATAAAATCATGCAAGTAAACATAGTGATAAATGTAGGGGTTAGATCATATATGGCAAAGCAAGTGTGACATTAGATTGGGAAATTTTGAGATAGATATTTGGGACTTGGATTATGCATTTTGATTTGGAAGTATGGGTCACAGCTTATATTCAACCATTTTAAATTATTTCAACAGCTTAGACTTTAAATACACCAAACTTATTTTCATATAAACTATAGGTGTAAGGCATATAAAAGTAAAGCATCTTACATTGCTTCTGGGTTCATTATGCAGACAGCTCCTGAACACTGGCATTTGTCAATGTCATCATAAGCTATTCCCATACTAAGGCTCAATAATTGAGCTATAATGACTGCAAGTGATTCCAGACTTAGGGTTTTGGGGTGCTGAAAAAAAGCACACAAGTGCACAGTAATATTTTAGGAGATAATTCATTTACTGGGAGAATAATGTAATTATTAAAAATAGTGTCATGACAAAATGGAATAGAGGCTTCTAATATGTAAACACAGAAGTGCCATCCATGTTGACTCAATTTGTTACAGGTACCATTATCAATATAAAAAGAATATAGTAGAAAAATCTGAAATTTTACCAAAAATTAAATATATAGTTCATTTGGTGGCACCAAAAGAAGATAAAAATTGCCCCAATAATTATATTTAATAATAATTATAATTATATTTATACTAGCTAAAAAGATTTAAAGATATACAAATATACACAGTGTCAAATTATTAACAGATTGTGCCCATTTCTACTTTGATTATTTAGAGATAATATTTTACATCAATGTTTTTACATTATGTTTCATAAAAAATAATAAATTAACCCATTGAATTAATTTATATTATGGTAATAATGACTGATCATGAGAATGCTGACTTTCCTTCTGGGTTCATTATGCAGATAGCTCCTGAGCACTGGCATTTGTCAGTCATCATAAGCTATTCCCATACTAAGGCTATTTTCAAAACCCAAAATGCCTTTGTCATTTTCTTTTTGTAAATGTAAGATGCTTACATAGAACATTTTGACCATACTAGACCATAAGAAGTTTAAGAAAAATCCACACATCACACTAGGTCTTCAAATATATCTAATAACACTTTTGTGAATATACTTCAAGAGAGGTTTCCAGGAATACATTTTGGTATATTCTGTTTGCTTCTCTAAATCAACTTTCCATTATTTTCCACCTTGCTCTCTAGTCAAGATGGCACCAAAGGATAATATCAAAAGGTTCTCTCCCCCCTGCTTTACTTTGGTCTGATGGGGAGGACAGGGTAAGAAAATTTTATTAGCATCATTGTCCAGGTGCTTATGGCTGTCTGAATTCCTGAGTGGAGGTCTCTACTTTCTGTGACCCCAGTAGAATGTCTCTGTCCTTTCCTTCTCACTTGGGTAACAAATTAAATAACTTTATTACTATCCCTGAGACACTGCAAAGTCCCTACACCTTGCATGCACATTGATAAATGGCCCCTTTATCAAATTACCACAGTTGAATGTACCATTCATTTTTAAATAGAGGAAGAATAAGAGATAAAAGAGGAGGAGGAAGAAGACAAGAAAGAGAGAGGGTAGAAGCTGGGGAAGAGTGGAAGGTGAAGGGAAGAAGAGGGGGTGTATTTGATTCTATGGAAAAGAAAATGAAGGATTCTGCTAAATTTCAATAATGTAAATAACAGAATATTATAAATAGTAATGTAATGAATAACAGGGTATATATTATTATTATAGTTATTGAAGATTTTTTTGTTTTGTGTTCAGGATATTATAGCAAAGGTGTGGCAGCCATTCAATCAATGTAGCTTTATAATTGTTTCTCTTTCTCTATGACTCCCGCTCCTTGCTATCTTTTATAGCTCAGTAAGATGAAAACAAAAACATCCAAAAAATTTCAATTTAGTCAGTTGTATAAAAGTCATCTCCTACACTCCCATGTACAATTTCTCCTTTACTCTATCTTCTTACTAGTTCATTTATTCTGTCTTTCATCTTATTGTGAGACTAGAGGCCCAGTGCATGAAATTCTTGCACGGGGGTAGTGGGTCCCTCAGCCAGGCTTGCACCCTCTCACAATCTGGGACTTCTGGGGAATGTCTGACTGCTGGCTTAGGCCTGATCTCGCAGGGATCCCTCAGGGATCGGGCCTAAACCGGCAGTTGGATATCCCTCTTGCAATCAGGGACTACTGGCTCCTAACTGCCCCCCTGCCTGCCTGATTGCCCCTAACTGCTCGACTGTCTGCCTGATAGTTCCTAACTGCTTCTGCCTCAGCCCCCAACACGGCAGGTTCACCAGGAAAGTTGTCTGGAAGGAAATCCGGAATGACAGAAGATCATTTGTCTGTCCGGTCTAATTAGCATATTACGCTTTTATTATTATAGATAGAGTCAAATATATGGTTTGTGTTGGAGATGACATTCCTTTGTGGCAATTTGGCATAGGGTTTCTATTACTCAGATAGGACTGTCATTACAAAATACCACGGACTGGGTTGGTTTAGATAACAGAAATTTATTTTCTCACATTTCTGGAGATTAGAAGTCCAGGTCAAGTTGCCAAAAGGGTTGCTTTCTGGTAAGGCCTCTCTCCCTAGGTTGTAGAAGGCTGTCTTTTCACAGTGTCCTCACATGGCCTTCTTTAGTATATGTATAGAGATAGATATCTCTGCTGTCTTTTACTCTTTTATAAGGACACCAGTCCCATTGGATTAGAGGCATACACTCATAAACTCATTTAATCTTAATTACCTCTGTAAGGCCCAGTCTCCAATATATAGTCATATTGGGGATTGGGGTTTCAATAAATGAATTTTTAGGAGTACACAATTTAGTCCAAAACAGACTAGTAGCAAAACTGAAAAGGTATAACTGGAGTATAAGAACTTCCTATGGGCTATGTTATGACTACTTTTGTTTCTAACATAAAATAATGGAAAACTAAAATTATATTTAGTATTGGCATTTTAAAATATTTTGTATAAAAGCTATAAGTAAGCATACAAGTTTCTTTTATTGAATCTGCTTACTATAATAGCTGTTAAATAATAGTAACAGCAGCTGGGATTTATTAAGGACTTCTTATGTGCCAATCACTAGTATTCCTATGTTGTATAACATGTGGTTACTTTCTATAAATATGCTGGTCTGTTTGCTTTGTAAAAACTTCTAGTCTCTAATATTAGAAATCAGCATTTTAAATATGCCTTTTAAATAAAGTTCATTAATACTGTTCAAACTTTCTAAATTTTTGGTCTGATAAATTATCCAAGTATGATTATTTCTGTTAGTAGCTCTTTCAGTGTCTACTTTGTGCATCTTAGTTTGGTATATATGAGTTCATGTTTATTATATATGCTAGTAAAATTTTATTTCATTCTAAATAATAAATCACCTAAAAGTCATATCTGTTTTACCTGAAGAACATTTTGCTGCTTTTTACTATTGATAAATCAAATTTTGTTTGGTTATATATTTGTTTCTTTTTCTTACTCTTTAGGGTTAAAATTTCAGTGGCATTATGTATGGGTGTAAAACATATGCATATACATATATGTGTATAGAATATTTACTCAAATATACACATTCTTATATATAATTTATTTATAATATTATATGTATGTACATATATACACACATATTTGTGAAGTGTGTGTGACAAATATCTGCATAACTACTACACTGTACAAAATATGGGATATTTTTATCACCTAGGAAGTTCTTTCCAGCAAGTTTCCAGGCATTACCTCACCACAATTTGTAACTTCTATTCTGACTTTTAATAAAATGGTTTATCTTTAACTACAAATTAAAATGGGATAATAAATATTCTTTTGCTTCTGGTTTACTTTATTCAACAAGTTTTGAAATCCATCAATGTTGCATGTTTAATAGTAGTTTATTTTTATTGCTTAGATTATGTGAATATACCACACATATTTATCCATTTCATGGATAGGAGAACTCAGTATTGTTAAAGTGTCAATGTCCCTCAAATTGGCCTAAAGATTCAGTTCAAAATTAATCAGAATCCAAGCAGTTTTCGCTGGAATTGACAAACTGATTTTCAAATGGAAATGCGGAGAATTCAGAATACCTAAATCAGTCTAAAGTAGTAGTAGCAGGGTTTACACTACCCTGTTTGATGACTTACTATGAAGCTAATAAGACAATGTGTTGTTGGCTGAAGGACAGAAAAACAACCCACCAACAATGATAAAAGAGTCCAGAAAGAGACTAGAAATAAAAAAAGAATACTAGAAAGCTCTTCTCTGAATGCTCCTCTCACTATAGAGACCACTGCCCTCTGCTCATGAAACACACACTTTCCAATAAATGATGGCATTATTTTACTCTAAATATATGGGGACTAAACCTACCTTTAACAGTGGTTCTCAACCTTGGCTGCACATTAGAATCACCTGGGAATCTTTTAAAAATCCTGATTTCTGGGTCTCATCCTCCTGAAATTGTTTCTTTGTTACTAATGTTGTGGCCCCACCCCATAACAGAATTTCTGGAGGATGAGGCCCAGAAATCAGGATTTTAAAAAGATTCCTAGGTGATTCTAATGTGCAGCCAAGGTTGAGAACCACTGCTTTAGAGAGAATGAGTTCTGTTCTGACTTTGTTATCAATGAAGGCCTTATTTCACATGTGAGTCTTATATTTCAGTGTTGTGACTGCATAAATCAGCCAAATTCCAGTTTTTGAGACTAGGTAATGGCTTGCCAATAAACATAAGTCACATTTTCCAAACTACCATATGTAAATTTTAAGGTTGATATTTGTGTCTCCATTTGATTGATTCATCTTTTTATATCTTTACTTAGCTTCCCTTGTTCACTGAAATAAGAGTGTTATGCATTGCATCCCTCAAATTCTGGTAGACATTGTACAAACACACACAAAATAAGAAAGTAAATTCCACATGTCAAAATAATCATGGCATTATGAAAGAGGAGCAAAAATATACTAATTTTAAATAGACCAAGATTTTCTACTAAAATAAATAATACCAATTAGGGCATTTGATTCTGTTATCCTTCACCTGGGCCCCATAGAGCATTTTAAGGAAATTTATAATTCTCAAAGTTTTATTTTAACCCGGTTTATAATTATGTTTACTACATAATTAAGAAAAATGATCAAAATCTAATTTTGAAATCAAAAACAATTACTTATTAAATATTGAGCACATGCAAATTTATGAAAATTTTCTAAGCCTAAAATAGACCACTATATTAATTTTCTAAAAAGGATATTTTGAACTCATGAGATGAAATGCCAAAAATTGTATGTGTACGAAGTTCAGTGAGTACTTGCTATAGTTCAAACATTCCTCTCAGCAGCAGGGGAAAAGGTTAATATGTTCATTATGCAAATATTAAATACCTAGAAAAATGAATAAAAAATATTGAACTATATATAATCTAAACAGCATTTCATTTATATATCTTAGCCAAGATTATACCAACCACAGCAATGCCTCCTCCATATTGTCTATCACACATCTTTCCTTGAAAGGTTGCACCAACATAATCTGATTTTTCTCTGTAACTTAAATTAAAAAAAACACACATAACACAATCACATAAATTTGTAAAACTAAACACAATTAATATTGTATTTGGCAAATATAAATATATTTAAATATTTATATAATTTATTCATAGATAGTTCCATGTAACATTAAAGTAACAAAGCATAGGAAGTGACTGTGAATGCTTCTTTTGAAAACACTAAAATAGATTTTAAAACAAATATTATAAAGTCTATTATCAGATGGATTTTTTTTAACATGAAGATTCAGTTTTATGTAGTATTCACTAAAAATTAAAATATTCCTAAAAGATCAAAATAAGATAATTAAATAAAATTGCTTAAAATTAAGAAAATAAGGCGATGTAGTTGATAAATAAAAAGAGTTACCTTATAGAGTCATGCAAAGTTATGGCATACTTGAGGGGCAGAAAGTAACATAAAAGATTATGATTTTAAAATATATAGGGGCCCCGGCCAGTTTTTCTCAGTGGATAGAGCGTTGGCCCGCGGACTCAAGGGTCCCAGGTTCGATTCTGGTCAAGGGCATGTACCTTGGTTGTGGGCACATCCCCAGTAGCGGGTGTGCAGGAGGCGGCTGATTGATGTTTCTCTCTCTTCAATGTTTCTGACTATCTATCCCTCTCCCCTCCTCTTTGTAAAAAATCAATAAAATATATTTAAAAAATATATAGGATGCCCCCAAAAATGTATACACACACTTTGAATAATTATAAAGGCAGTGTTTATTAAAATACATTTAATTTAAAAAATGAGCTATCAACTATTTCTGTTTGTATACATTTTTGGGAGGGGCCCCTGTATGTATTATTTTATTTAATATAAATATATATATATAGATTCTGGACATTAATAAAAAACAATAAGCTTATTAAATAGAGAGTTTTATACTTTTTAAAAGGAAGCATAGTGTGAATATGATATATTAGAGATGTTTAAATACACAATTGTGCTTCCATTTCCTTGTTATTTATTATTTCATTTTATGGAAATAAAGCATAAAAAGAAGCCCAAGTTACTATATTCTTAGAATTCAGGTACATTTCTTCAGATAAATATTATTAGTATTTTATGTATAGTTAGGGACATTATACAATAAGGTAAAAAGGCAAGAAGGCATATGGTAACAAGTTTGAAGGAGTAAATTTTAAATACAAACAAATAAATACAGTGATATCAATAATTTTGTAAAACCCATGTTTTGAAAAATAATATTCAGATGATGTTGTTTATAAGAAAAATGGCACAAGATGTCTTTCTCTAAAGACCTTTGAACTGTCAGAAATTAGGTCAAATATGTTTTCTTTCTATAAGATTTAGTAATGCCAAGATATGCTTACACAAGTAAAAATGCCATATCATGTGGACGCAAAACAAGATAAGACCTTTTCCATTTTAAAAATTTGTGTAATAATTCATTAACATCTCCTGTTACTGGCATTTTATTTTCATCTATCCAAAGCTCCAGTGAAGACAGAATTATTGTAATATTAAATGAAGTAAAAATCTAAAATAGAACACATAAAGAAAATATATTCAAATATCATGGTCTAAATAGATTTGGAAATTAGGTGTGAAAATAAACACTATCCTGATGACAAATATTAAACAACTGAACTATAAATCTGTTTTGAATCTTATAATATAAAAAATACATACTACTAATGAAGTAAGTTGTAATTAATATTTGAAAAGCCTATCCTTAAGCAAGCCCTACCTCAAGTGCTATATTTAATTTAATCCTTACAATAACCTAATTAGGTATCTACAATAATTATTATTTCTATGAAATAGTTAGAAAGCAAACTTAAAATGGTTATATACTTTCCCCTATTCACACAAGATATGTATTCAGGCAGTGTCATAAAAGAAACTATGGGAATTTTTTAAGTATCACAAGCAAATGCAAAAGTTCTAAAAAGTAAACACTTACAGCATTAGTCAATCCAATTAATTGGAAAATTTTTTGAGTGACAGTAGCCGTATCAGAACCCATATGAGTATACTGAAAAAGATAATCATACATTTTAAATCTAAATACATATTGCTTAATATTTAATTATTGTTGTGTTGTTTAAATTTTAATATAGTGAGTTTGAAACGTTTTAACTAATAATTATTTGTTTTAAAATATAAATTATTATAGAAATAATATGATATTTATTTAAGTGTGAGAAATAGGATATATTAAAAAATAAAAAAAAAACCTTACAAACTCCCAAAAATAGAAGAAAGGGACACTTCCAAAGTCATTTTACAAGGCCAGTGTTACCCTGACACCAAAACCAGACAAGAACACTACAAAAAGAGAAGATTACAGGTCAACATCTCTGATGAACATAGATTCAAAAATCCTTAATAAAATGTTGGTACACTGAGATCAACAGCACATCCCAAGAAATTAGAAACACCAATCAGGAAGGATATATGCACCCCTATGTTCATAGCGGCACAATTCACCATAGCTAAGATTTGGAAGCTGAGTGGATTAAAAAACTGTGGTACATCTACACAATGGAATACTATGCTGCTGTAAAAAGAAGGAATTCTTGCCATTTGCAACAGGATGGATGGAACTAGAGAGCATTATGCTAAGCGAAATAAGCCAGTCAGAGAAAGATAAATATCACATGATCTCACTCATTTATGAAAAATAATGAACAACATAAATTGATAAACAGAAACAGACCCAGAGACGGAAGCATCTTTCAGACCGTCAAACCTCAGAGGGAAGGTAGGGAAGAGTGGGGGTAAGGGGGAGAGATCAACCAAAAGACTTGTATGCATGCATATAAGCCTAACCAATGGACACAGACACTAGGGGGGTGAGGGCATGAGTGGGGGTGTTGGGGGGCAATGGGGAGATAAGGACACATATGTAATACCTTAATCAATAAGATAAAATAAAATGAAATATAAAATAAAAATAAAATAAAAGGATCTTATACCAGGTACAAGTGGGATTTATTCCATGGTTGCAAAAATGGTTCAACATTCACAAACCAGTTAATGTGATAGAACACCAAATAAAGGGAAATGTCACATAATTATCTCAATTGATGCATTTTACAAAATTCAACATCTTTTCAAAATAAAAACTCAACAAAATATGTATAAAAGGAACATGCCTCAACATAATAAAAACCATATGTAACAGGCTCACGGCCAAGATCATAATCAATGGTGAAAAGTTGAAAACTTTCCCCATATAATCAGGAACAATACAAGAATACCCAGTCTCACCACCTTTATATAATATAGATTGAAATCTTAGCCAGAGAAAGTAGGAAGAAAAGTAAATAAAATACATCCAAATGGGAAAGGAAGAAGTAAAACTGTCACTATTTGCAGATACCATGTTATAGAAAGCCCCAAACTCATAAAAAAAACCTGTTAGAACTAGTGAACAAGGACAGTGACGTTGCAGAATAAAAAACAAATATACAAAACTATGTTTTATATACTAATAGAAACTATCAGAAAGGGAAATTAAGAAAATAATCCCATTTACAAATACATCAAAAAGAATAAAATACATAGGAATACATTTAAGCATAGAGGTGAAGGATTTATACACTGAAAACTATAAGAATTAAAAAAAACACAAATGAATACGAATATAGTTAATGCTCAAGAGTTAATATTGTTAAAATGTTTCTACTTCACAAAACAATCTACAGATTTGATGCAATCCCTATCAAAATTTCAATGTTAATTAAGAGTCATAGAACATTTAGGATTGGGTGAAGATGATTTGAGAGATTTATAAGTAAAAACTTCAAAGTGTTTGATGTTACTTATATGTAAATTTTTTTAAGAAATTGAAAATCCCAATATGATAAAATTGTATGCTCACTGACTAGAAAAATTAAAAAGAAATATAAAACCAATGGTTAGCAGGTATGAGGAAAATAGCACTTTTAGTTTTAACTTAGAGAGGTAAAAAGTTATAACCTTTTCATAAATCTATAAACAGAATAGAAAGTCTACAAAGGTGTGTCACTTTATTAAACACTAAACTTGGATATCTAATAATATACTCTGCTTTCCTTGATGTTACTATGGATGAATTTACATGGTTATGTGTCAATTACATATCAATTAGAGGCCCGATGCACAAAATTTGTGCAAGGGCCGTGGCCCCGGCCCCCGTCTGCCGCTGCTGTGCCCAGAAGTAGGGGGATCGGGGGAGCGAGGCCTCTGCTACCTCTGCCACAGTCTGGCCTGCTGCGGCTTTGTCTGGAAGGAAGGACGTCAGGTCTAATTAGCATATTACACTTTTATTATTATAGATAAATCTGAAGAAAGTAGAAAAAATATAAAATTATAAAAATAACTAAATGGACACTCAAGTTGAAAAATACAATAGCTAAAATAAAAACTTCATAAAAGGGGTGTTCACCAGCAGAAAAAAGAATAATTGAACATGATGGTATATCAACAGAAATTATCCAACATAAAAAAAAAAGAAAAAACAAAAAAGTAAACTGAACAGAATCATGGACATTAATTTGACATCATTACGTAAGCCAGAATTTATATAATAGGAGCCTTAGAAGGGCACAGAGATTGAAAAAGGCAAAAAACAAAAGAAAGTGGACTAGCTAGTTTGGCTCAGTGGATAGAGTCTTGGCCTGTGGACTGAAGGGGTCCTGGATTCTATTCTAATCAAGGGCACATACCTCAGTTGGGCTGCAAGCTGCTCCAGGCCCCTGACCGGGTTGGGTGCAGGAGGCAACCAATTGATGTGTTTTTCTCACAACAATGTTTCTCTCTGTCTTTCCCTCTCTCTTCCTCTCTCTCTAAAAATCAATGGAAAAATATCCTCAGTGAAGATTAAAAATAATAATAATTTTTAAAAAGAGCAAGCAGTTGCTTTAAAAAACAAAACAAAACAAAAACCTTTAGTAAAAAATGGCCAAAACCTCCACAAATTTAATGACAATCATTAATCTACACATTATATAGGTTCAATAAACCAAATAAGATAAAATCAGACATTCACACAGACACATCATAGTTAACTAACTGGACAAAGGTCTTAAAAAAAAATCTTTAAAGTGAGAAGAAAAAATAATGTATCTCACAAAGAAGAAAAATAATGCATAACAAGATTAAGAGATGACTTCTCATCAGAATCAATGGAGAACAGGTAGAGTTACAAATTTTAAGTACCAAAAGAAAACATTCTCAATCAAAAATTCTATATCCAGCAAAATTCTTCTTCTAAAGTAAAGGCAACAGAAAGGCATTCCCAAATTAAAAACAAAAAAAAAATCATTAATAACAGAGCTGCATTACTAGAAATAAGAAATAATAATTTAAAAATCCCTTGAGGTTGAAAAGAGATGACAGAAGACTATAACACTTATATACACAAAGACAGTCAAGAGCTCTGGTAATGAAAATTGCAAAGGTAAGTATAAAATACTATCTTTTTTCCTCTTAATAAAAAAACTTGCAAAAAACAATAATTTAAATTTTGACATTATTGTGAAGACATCTCGTTTAGACAGAATGATGTAGACTGTTGTCTTCCAGTTTCTCCCAGCTGAGCAAAGCTATGAAAAACGATAAACCCTGAAATAATATACCCCCCCCCAAAAAAAAAAAGATTATAGGAGGTTTCTAAAGAGTGGAAATCAAAGGTAGCTGTACAGGTATGCTAGGATCAGAGGAATAACATAGCTGCACCACATCCACTGGCAAAAAGTAGCCCAGGTAGGGATGAAGTGAGAACCCCACTAACATTCTGGTGCCTAGAATCTGTGCCCTATAGCATGGAGTCTTCTCATGGCCCAACTTGAAACAACAGGTTGCCTGGACCTAGAAAGAGCCATTGCCCCTGCTGGCAGTATCAGAGTAGCTCTGATAATATAAAACAGCTCTACTCCCTGATGTCCAATGTCTCCTACTCCCACATAGAAACACTAGGCAGAATAACCCTAAAAAGGAACTTCATCTCCCACAAACAGCATTGAGAATGTAAACAGGAATCCCACTGGCACTGAGTAGGCCAGGAAAACACTTTCTACTATGCAGGCCCATCATCTACAATCCCCTACGCTGAGGCAGCAGGAGGACGAGGAAGGCTACTATTCCTGCAGGCAACACAGGCAGGTAGCCATGGCGTCTACAAAAGCACCAAGTGAACCAAGACAAAAAGAACATCATGAAGGCTCTGAAAGCTTTTGCCATTAAATACCACCACACGACTAGGTCAATACTTATGTGCTAATAAAATTAAAAAGAAAAAATTAAGTAGAATTCAGAATATCATAACATACTCGTCAAAATGTCCAGAAAGCAGTTGAAAATCACTTGTAGCGAAAAGGAGTAAGAACTACTTGTGAAAGTGTCAGGAAGATGACAGACTGTGCCTGAGGCAAGAGATTATAGGCGAAGATATACAGCAGGCCATGAAAGGCCCTGAGGAGAAGCTTGGGTGTTTATGACTCTTTGGAAAACTGAGATATTCAAAAGCAGCTGTGTATATGGTGAAATAAGAAAGCTCCTCAAGACATATGCTCAGTAAAGACCTGAGAACGTCCTAAACTTCCACCTCCGCTGACCCCTAACTTGAGAGCAAGCTTAAGGAATCATTAAAGGACTGCCCTGGAGCAAAACCAACCTGCAAAATCTGAAAGAGGTGTTTGTTTTTTTCAAATGCTGAATTTTCAACCCAAATCACAAGATTCCTCAGTCAGGTGTTATACTGAAAGTATCATAGACGAGGGGCTTAAACAGCAAATGAATCTCTCTGTTCTGGAAGCTGTGAGTCTAAGACAGAGGCTCCAGCAGATTTGGTATCTTGTAAAAATCCTCTTCCTGGTTCATAAATGACCATCTTGCCTTCTTGGCAGAAAGGTGAAGGAACTTTCTGGAATCTCTTTTATAAGGGCCAAATCTCTTTGATAAGGGCTCCACCTCCATGACTTAAATCACTCTCAAAGGCCCCACCCTCCAAAAATCATCACATTGTATTAGGTTTTGATATGCATTTCAGAGAAACACATGCATTGTTTATATCATGAGGCAAAGAAAGAAAGAAACAAATAAACCAAAAAGCATGACCCAAAGGAAAAGATAAATTGGGAGAAACAATCCTTGAGGAAATGCAGACATACCAAAATCTTTACAACAATTGTCAGAAGTATGCTCAAAGAGCTAAAGAAAAACACAGACTAAGGGAAATCTGGAAAATTACATACAAACAAAATTACCTCTAAACAAAAAAATATAGAAATTATAAAAAGAAACCAAATAAACTCTGGAGTTATAAAATGCAATCATTGAGGTGAAAATTCACTGGAAAGATTCAACAACAGACTTGAAGAGGCAGGGCAAAGAATCAACAAACTTGAGGAGAGGATAATTGAAATTATAGAGTTTAAGGACCATAAAGAAAAAAAAGAGGGACTTCTGAAATATCATTAAGTAGAAATAATATATAAATTATAGGAGTCCCAGAAAAAGAAGAGAGATTATTTGAAGAAACAAATAATTACTAATATAAATTGACATAAGCCAAATAAATCAGAATATACTTACCAAATTTTTTTCAACTACAACATGCATTTCTATATAACTAGAGAAATCTGTAGGTGACTGAAAAAAATCGACATGAAAGTTAAAGAATTACTTAAATATATTAGTGTTTATCACTACATCATCAATTCATTGTTGAAAAATCCAAATTTATATATATTTAAATATTATATATATATATATATATATATATATATATATATATATATATAATCTCCAAAGCTAGGTATCAAATAATCATTTTCATAATATTTCCTTGTCACCTCTTTCAAAGCTGATCCACCATTTAATTTACTCAGAAAGTAACTTTCCTTTACTATCCATTTCTCTATATTCTCATTGGTTTTGAGCTATCTATATTATTTGCTTTCCTGAAAAAACACACAAAAAAACCCTTCCATTGACTCCCATTACAAAAGGTGTGATTTTTTTTTAAACTCTAGTTTTATTTATTTTTTTTAATATATTTTATTGATTTTTTACAGAGAGGAAGGGAGAGAGATAGAGAGTTAGAAACATCGATGAGAGAGATCCACCATTTAATTTACTCAGAAAGTAACTTTCCTTTACTATCCATTTCTCTATATTCTCATTGGTTTTGAGCTATCTATATTATTTGCTTTCCTGAAAAAACACACACAAAAAAAAACCCTTCCATTGACTCCCATTATAAAAGGTGTGATTTTTTTATTAGCTTACATGATGCTATTATCCATTACTATGTGGTATGGTTTTATCTATGATGCTGAAAGTGTAAGGAGCATTTCTGTGTTTAGAGGGATGATATTTTAAATCACTGCAGAAAAAGGTGAGCAATAGCTATTCAAAATGAGCAACTCTCAAACTGCACCATAGATACCTCAAGATGAGTTTCTGGTTATGATGTCATCCACGTAGATCATAGTGGTTAAGTTAGGCAAAAATGTAAAGCCCGATGGGATTTGAATTCTGCCTTATTATTTATATGACAGACTTTGCCAAAATATGGGTATAAAGAAATAATTATCTTCATGATTATTGTTACATGAAGATTATTGTTACGTTACCTAGGAGGAATGCACTAGGGAAAACTTGTAAGACAACTTTGTGAACTCTTTAAGATTATAGTGTCAACAATTCAAAATATCTTGTTACTAGAATAGCATAACTACAAACACTGGACAGATCTCTAGAAGCAGAAAAGGAGGATAAAATTTCAGAAATTGAGGACACTTTTCTTATATTTATTTTAATGTCTACAGATTTTCCATTTCACATTAAAGTTTAAAACCATCCCATATTAGTAAAACTATTTTCTTTAGCATATTAAATTGAGCATTGGAGAATAAGAACGATGGGATTTAGTAGAGATCAGAAAAATGATGATAATAGTAATTTAAAGAAAAGGGAAAAGTTGAGAAAGATCAGTAATACAAAATTAGGGCTGATTGAGCACTCATTTTTGCCCACTATTTCTTGGCCTAACCTTGGAGATTTCAGGGTTTTGTTTTTAAAAATGCAGATGAAATCCCCTTATGGTCTAACCAGTTTTTTATAATTTCCATTAAAAATTAAGCACCAAATATTTCATGATAGTTTGCTTATGGGACTCAATCCTCTCATTAAAGTCCCTAAAAAAGGAAATAACACCACTTTACTGGAGGATAAACATAAACACAAATTAATTGAGATAAACAATGTATTAATGGATTGAAGGATCCAAACCATTTCATTGTTTTAACCAACATGTGTTAGTTGTCTAACATTCCCTGAAGTAATCTTTGTTCATTTTCTCTTTGAGATTGGGATTTATTATACTTAATTAATAATATATTCATTCATTTAATGAACAATAAACCTAAAGGGTAAAGATACAGTCTATTTTAGCCAAATACATTTAAGACAAGGGTACATAAAAGAATGCCAGGAAATGTGTCTGTGGAAGGGTGAGCAGGTCCAAACAACTCAAAAGCCATTTTATAGAGTAAGAGAATGTGGTTATATAAGGGAACAAAATTGCTTAGCTAAGTATTATGCAAAGACTAGAGGCCTGGTACATGAATTCATGCACAGGTGGGGTCCCTCGGCCAGGCCAGTGATCGGCCCTTGCTCAGTCCCAATTGGGGAGATTGGGGCAGTCAATGGGGGGGAGGGCCCGCAGGAGGTTGGCTGGCCAGCGGGGGGTGTGGGGCAGAGGGACTGTGGGAGGTTGGCCTGCCAAAGGGAGGTTGGATGTGGGAGCGCACTGTCCACAAGGGGGCAGCTTCTGCATTGAGCGTCTGTCCCTTAGTGGTCAGTGCACATCATAGTGACTGGTCGACTGGTTGTTCGGTCGGCTTAGGCTTTTATATAGAGAGATGGTAATGGGCTGAATCCTTTCCTCCTAAGATTGGGGCAAGACAGAAATATCTCTTCTCACCTATTTAACATTATACTGGAGGTGCTAACCAGAACAATTAGGCTATTTAAAAAAATGAAAGTTATCCTAATTAAAAAGGGAGAACATAAACTATCTTTATTCAAGTTGACATGACTTTATAAATAGAAAATCAAAGTCCAATTAAAAAACTAATAAACAATTTCAACAAATTTGTAGAATACAAAATCAGTACACAAAATAAATAATTTCCTAACACTGATAATGAGAAATACAAATTTGAAATAAAAATTAAATGTGTAATAGCATTCAAATAATAAAAGTTTTAAAAATAAATTTAACAAAATAAGTTTACTTGAAGACTGAACAATGCAAAACAACACAGAAAATATTAAAGAAAATCTTAAAAAAAGCTATTCAATGTTAATAGATAGAAATAATTAATATTGTTCAATGGCAATATTTCTCAGATGAATCTACAGAATCAATAAAATCCCAGGTAGCATTTTGAGGAAATTGAAATAAATTTGAAAATTCATTTGGAATTGCATAGTAACAAGAATAGCTAGAACAATATCTAAAAAGAAGAATGCACACTTACTGATTCCAAAAATTGATTCAAAGCTATAATAGTAAAAAAGTTGTGGTTCTGGCATAAGAATAAGCATAAAGATCAATGGAATATAATTGCAATTGTGGAAATAGTCCCTAACATTTATGGTAAACTGATCTTTGAAAAAAGCTAGCCATGAAAATTCAATGGAACAAAAATAGTCTTTTTAACAAATGGTGTTGGGAAAAATAGATATCCATATGAAGAATAATGAATTTAGAATCTCACTCCCTACAAAAATTCAATTGAGTCATATGTCAAAATGTAAGAGATTAGACACTAAAATTTATGAAAGAAATATACAAATAAATTTTGTAGCCCTTGTGGGATGGTTAACTGTCACTTGAACTTGCCACATGCATACATATATGCACACATACCTACACACACACACACACACACACACACACACACATACACACATATGTTGGTTCTGGAAAATTATCAACCTTAAAAAAACAAAAAAACCTTACCTACTATAGCTGCATATCAGGGAGGGTTGAAAATCAAACTCAGAATCTCATTCTATGAGTAGATTAGTTACAGCACAAATTGAATTTCCAACATCACATGGTGTCTACTGTGAAAGTGAAGGTATTAATTGGGAAAAAATGAGATCCTGAAAATTTGAATGGGGACATATGGGAAGACTCTGATGAATCTGAGGTTTCTGAACTCCTAAATTCCAGAGTCTTCTTTGCCAGTAGAAGCAGCTTTTCTGTCCTTGCATAAGGAAATTAACCCTGCATCTTAAGGAAAATGTGATGGCTGCCCCTGAGGCAGCTGTCTTAGAAGAAGACCCTAGTGATTCTCCTCAGCAAATATCTTCAATATTTATGTAAATGTCATTTGTATTTGTCATATCAAAATTTTGACATAATGGATATGGAAAAAGGAGTGTACCTGCAGACAATGAAGGTATAGATCATAGGGTGGAAAAGCAGTGTCAATAACAGTTAAAAATAACAGCTTGTAGTTCTGGAAATTTGAATGACTAGTTTTCAGACTTACAATATAAGTCACAAGGTTTCTGGCACATCTAGCACATTTATCTATTATCTATCTATCTATCTATCTATCTATCTATCTATCTATCATATTAACTAATATAAATAATTTATCAGAAAGATATTGTTTTTATTGATGAATAGTAATAGCCATACAGTTACTCAAATAATCACCTACCTGTACACTTTGTATTTTAAAGGGCAAGTCCCTTGGATCAATATCCTCCTCAGTATATAAAGAAGCACCTGTATTCTTATTATTTACTTGGTAAATCACATGTTCAAAACCAACTGAAGGTTCCAAGGGCTCAATTCCATAACTTATATTTTCAAACTGTAGCAAGCCCCTATGAATTTCAAAACACATTTTTAAAAAAGTACATAAAATGCCATTTAGTCAAGTTTTAGTTGAATAGAATGTAGATAATTTTCAGTATTAGTCTTAAGTGGTAAAGTGGAAAAAAAATTCCTAAGTATCCACAAACTTACTGAGTGGCACTGAATAGTAATGCAATTGGTATTAGCGTAGCTATTGACATTTCATGGTCTCCAATTCTATCAAAAATCTTAATTCAGAATAAAGGTAGGAGGGATTACAAGAATTTTTATATTATGCTTTTCCTAAAACAGTTTTCCACAATAAGGCATGGCTCACGTTAGAACCCCTGAATATAATTTAAAATTTTTTTTAAAGTTATTTCTGAAATAATACTCCATTTTCTCATTATAAAATTATATATCCCAACCTGAGTCCAGTACATGTGCTAAGGATCACCATAGAATTTGGATACCCTTCAATATACCCTTGGTAGTAGCAAAAATTCTGAAAAACAAAAGATAAAATACATATATCTCTATTAGAATAACTCATGTTAAAGGTACTATTTTCAAATATTTAAACCAAATGTTAATTTGTGCATATGTGTCAAATGCTTATTGTTTCTAAAATATATTTAAAGGATTATTAGATGAACATTTGGCTCAATTATCCAAATATGTTCACACAGGTTCAAAAAGTTAGTACATTTTCATATGTTTTCCTATTATAAATTAAATATGACATTCTTGGTCATTAGGAACAAGGTAATAATCTTTCAAAACTTATTTTTTCATATTCTATTGACTTAATTTTGCAAAACCAAATAAAATGAATCCAAGAGAAAAATTATTTGAGTGTAAAAGCAGAGTAGCTTGCATTGGGTCAACTCCCTCACCAATTACAAATATAAATTCTGGAAAAATAATTTTAAAATCCAGCTACAAAGGCTGGCAGAAAAAAAGTGAGAGAAGGGAATCAACATTAGAAAGAAAAACATGGTATTTAGTTTGCATTTATATCACCTGAGGGCACCCCCAAGGCAAGGCCACACAAGGTAGCTGAAGTTCCAACAAAGAACCCAATCTTACTGACCATGGTTTCAAGTTCCTAGAAGTTGAGGTGCATATCCAGGAAAGGAAGGAGGCACAGAGTGAGGCCCCAAAATGTATGTTATTGATTCAGGTGTAAGTTCTTCATTTACATTTGAACTGAGAATATGTGAAAGAGATCTCGAGTCGCTTAGCAGAAACTAAGGCCAGAAAAGCCAGAACTGAGAAGACATTTTGGCTATTTCTGAACACAGGAGGGTAGTTTTGAAAGTGGCACCAGGAAAGCTCATTGTCTGGTGGAATAAGAAAGCTCTTTAGACACAAGAATCACAAACTCAAGAATGTATCATTGGATATGGCCAGTATGATCCTATATAATAAAAGCCTAATATGCAAATTGACCAAATTGTAGATGGACCGGCAGAATGATCAGTCACTATGAAGTGCACTGACCACGTAGGGGCAGATGCTCAAGGCAGAAGCTGCCCCCAGCCCACAGGCCCCAGGCCAGCCAAGGTGGGTGCCAGTGGGGGGCTCCCCAGCCACCCCACCAGTCGCCCTGCAGATTGCCCTGATGGCTGGCCAGGCCTAGGGACCTTACCTGTGCACGTGTTTCATGCACTGGGCCTCTAGTTTTAAAATATTAGATGTGCCCGGCTGGCATAGCTTGGTGGTTGAGAATCAACCTATGAACCAGGAGGTCATGGTTCGATTTCAGGTCCAGGCATATGCCCAGCTTGGGGCATGCAGGAGGCAGCTGATCAATGGTTCTCTCTCATCATTGATGTTTCTGTCTCTCTCTTCCCCTCCCTTCCTCTCTGAAATCAAATTTAAAAGAAGTAAATAAAATATTAGATGTGTGAATGTGGCTCATAGTCCAGAGAAAAATCAGAAAAAGAGCTAACCCTAAAATAACCCATGATTTTGGAATTAGTAAGAAAAAAAGCAAAAAAAAAAAAAAAAAAAACAACAAAAGAGGCAGCAGAAGGTAGTAGCTGCTATCTTCTGTTACTTAATAGTCACATGGTCCAGACCTCTGGCAGGCAAAAGATAATATTCAAGTTATGAGTTGGGTTTTTAGAGGCATAAACTCCCCATCTTCAAACTAGCTAATTCAATATTAAACTACTTTTTTACTTTCTAAACTGCAAATTCCTGCTCAGTATGCCTTTGGACCAGTGCACACAGGCTGTCAGACTCAAGAGAAAACATTAGGAATCCAGTAATAACAGTATCAGCGAGAACACAAGTGACGGTGGCTGATTCCCTTGCTATGGCAAGTTCTGAATAAATAGTTTTTGCTTATTCTCATTTTTTTGGTTTTTGTTCATTTCCACAAGATATAAACAACTCCACACATCAAAATAAACGGATGGAAACAAAAAATAAAGAGAAAATTTGAAATAAATCAAAGAAAAGTAGCACATAACATTCCCAGGAATAATAATGCAAACAATAATATATTTCACTATATATTTCTTTATATATATATATAGATGATATAGAGATAGAGATAGAGATAGAGATAGAGATAGAGATAGAGATAGAGATAGAGGTAGAGGTAGAGGTAGAGGTAGAGGTAGAGATAGAGATATATAGATATATAGATATATAGATATATAGATATATAGATATATAGATATATAGATATATAGATATATAGATATATAGATATAGATGTATAGATGTAGATGTGTAGATTTAAATGTATAGATCAGGGGTCCTCAAACTTTTTAACAGGGGGCCAGTTCACTGTCCCTCAGACCATTGGAGGGCCGGACTATCTATACTAATAAAAGCCTTGGGGGCAATCAGGCCAGCAGGGGAGGGCAGTTGGGGGCTATCAGGCTGTCAGGGGAGAAGATAGGCATCAATCAGGCTAGCGGGGAGCAGTTAGGGGGCAATCAGGCTGTCAGGCAGAAGTGGTTAGGGGCAATCAAGCAGGCAGGCAGGCGGGTGAGTGGTTAGAGGCCAGCAGTCCCGGATTATGAGAGGGATGTCTGACTTCCCGTTCAGGGATCGGGCTTAAACCAGCAGTCAGACATCCCCCGATGGGGTCCCAAATTGGAGAGGGTGCAGGCCAGGTTGAGGGACACACCTGCCCCTGTGCACAAATTTTGTGCACTGGGCCGCTAGTAGTTTAAAAAAAAACTATGAACAAATTCCTTTGCACACTGCACATATCTTATTTTGAAGTAAAAAAACAAAACGTAGTTTGAGGACCCCTGGTATAGATATAGGTATATATAAGTAGAGAGCCAGATTAAAATGCTTAAATAGAATGAAAGCTCTGGTTCCTAAAATTATGTATTAAGATAAATTATTCTTTAAAAATGAAGATGTGGAGAATTGACTTCTAGTATGACAACATGAAGAGCTCCACAAATCTGCTCCCTAGCAAACTAAATAAAAATTATAAACAACCATATAAATCCTCTGGAAATGGTCAAAAGGACAAACTGTCCTAAGAGAAAATGAATAAATAGCTCTTCAATGAAACTTATGAAAATTCAGGAAGAAAAATGGAAGCCTGTGTTAATTTGAGCCAAAACAGACCCTTTTTCCCCACCTCCAAGCTCAGTGAGATGTAGCAGGCTGCTGTGAGGATAACATGACATCCTCTTTTACTGTTAACTGTTTATTTGTTTGTTTGCTTTTTTAGTAAGTAGAAAGAGTACACTCTAAAATAATAATAAAGTGTATAGCAAGTAAGTACATAAACCAGTAATATAGTCGTTTATGATCATTATCAATTATTATATACTGTGCATCATTGTATGTTCTATACTTTTATATGACTAATTTTTTTACACAATAGGTTTGTTTACATCAGCATCACCATAAGCACATGAGTAATGCATTGTCCTACAACATTATGATGGCTATGGTGTCACTAGGTGTTAGGAATTTCTCAGCTCCATTATAAGCTTATGGGACCACCAGTGTATAGGTAGTCCATTTTTGACAGAAACATCGTTACATGGCACATGATTATACTGGTTACATTTGAGGCCAGTATTCAACAACTTACTACATTCAGGACATTAATAAAGCATTCTTTGCTTTGCCTTTTTAATTATACATTTATCTTTCATAGTTACCTCCTGGGAGGTAGGAAGTAGAGTTAGATATTAGGTATAGCAAACGTATGTGAAATTCAGGCCTGGAATATTGTGGTTGTATATCTCTTTGTCTCTCTGATACTAACTCTTTTCTCTCTTACACACACACACACACACACACACACACACACACATGCCACAAGCGTGTGCATGCACACACACACACACGTGTGTGTATATATTTGACTATGTATTATTATATATCTGTATAGATTATTCCATATATAACTCACATATATTTACCTAGTCTGTTCAGTGAAATTTAAAGCAATTATTCACCCTCTCTATTATTTTTTTTTGGTTAAAATTTTCATGTCTATCAAAATGCTTTAATTTCAGAGTATTAGTAGATTCTCCACATAGAAACCAGTAATGCAAATGGAAAAAAAAAAACACAACAGGAATTGGTAGGACAGGGCAGAGGTAAAAAGAAAAATGGCATTTCAGGCATGGGTAATACATGCAATTCTATGAACACTTCTCTATTATTCTTTCAATAAACTATTGACATGCCCAGCCAGCATGGCTCAGTGGTTGAGTATTGAACTGGTCAGGGTACATGCCTGGGTTGCAGACTGGATCCCCAGTGTGGGGCATGCAGGAGGCAGCAGATCAATGATTCTCTCTCATCATTGATGTTTCCATCTCTCTCTTCTTCTCCCTTCCTCTCTGAAATCAATAAAAATATATTTAAAGAACTACAGACTTTATAAAATGAAGCTCCAAGTGTTCCAAATATATGAAAATTTAATGTATTCCTAAATGTGCTTTCAATTCCATATGTATTCACTAGGTCCCTGAAAATACTTCAGAAAAGTATTTAAATTCTCCTTTTCTTCCCTGATTTAGCTTTCCTAACATAAGTCATGCTTTTTCATTTGAAATGTGTTACAACATAGTCAACCCATTGTCCACATAAGCACATACAGTATATGTACATCATCATTAAATAATAGCTTAAAAACATCGGAATCATTTTTGGTTTGGGTAATCATCTGTTTAATAAGGCTTAGTTAATACATACATAAAAAAGAAATGGTTAAATTCATGCCAAAAAGAAATGGTTAAATTCAGCAACAAGTGGACCCTAAGTAAGGTGATCACAGAAACTCACCTAATAAAGGTAAAACAGACACTAAAATTCATACCTGAATCTGTTGTTCAAAGGGCTTCATATATCCTGTGCCATTATAACCATAAACTCTAAAACTAGGAGGCAAGAAAGCTCTGCAAAATAGAGAGAGTGTTTAGTGAAAAATTTGTTCCCTAAGCTTTTATTTTTAAAATATATTTATTTTGTTACTAGAGGCCCGGTGCACAAATTCATGCATGGGTGGGGTCTCTAGGCCTGGCTGGTGATCAGGGCCAATCAGGGCCAGGCCAAACAGGGCTGGCCATCTGGGCCTGCAGGCTGGGGGGAGGGACAAGGGGAGGGAATGCAGGAGGTTGGTCGCTGGCCCCAAAGAGGAGCCAAACCTCGGCGACCCCTGGGAAAGGGGCTGCATCCACCACCACCCACCCCCAGCTGCCCGTCCCAGCCTTAGGCCCAAAGGCTCTGGCAGGGTCGGGAGAGGAGGCGATAGTCACTGGGCTGAGTGCAGAAGGAAAAGACGCTGGATGCTGATGCTGCTGTTGGCACCCCACCACCGCGCAGTTCCCTGCCTACCCCTCCTCCTTCCCTCACTGCTGTGCCACCATGGTGGCCAGGCAGTGGTTCGATCAGGGCCTGGCAGCCAGGGGGAGGGATGGGGGAGGGACTGTGGGAGGTTGGCCAGCTGGAGGGAGGGACCATGGGTGGTTAGCTGGCCGCAAGAGGTTGACTGTGGGAATGCACTGACCACCAGGGGGCAGCTCCTGGGTTCAGCGTCTGCCCCCTGATGGTCAGTGCGCATCATAGCGACTGGTCTATCGGTCATTCTAGTTGTTCTGGTCATTCGCTTAGGCTTTTTATTTTATCTATCTATCTATCTATCTATCTATCTATCTATCTATCTATCTATCTATCTATCTATCATCTATCTATCTATCTATTATAAACTAGAGGCCCAGTGCACGAAATTCATGCATGGGGGTAGGAGGGGTGTCCCTCAGCCTGTCCTGCACCCTCTCCAATCTGGGTTCCCTCGAACATCCCTCTCACAATCCGGGACTGCTGGCTCCTAGCCGCTCGCCTGCCTGCCTGTCTGATTGCCCCTAACCACTTCTGCCTGCCAGCCTGATTGCCCCCTAACCACTCCCCTGCTGGCCTTATTGAGGCCTAACTGCTACCCTGGCGACCTGATCACCCCCAACTGCCCTCCCCTGCAGGCCTGGTCACCCCCAACTGCCTTCCCCTGCCAGCCAGGTCACCCCTAACTGCCCTTCCCTGCAGGACTGGTCACCCCCAACTGCCCTCCCCTGCAGGCCTGATCACCCACAACTGCCCTCCGCTGCCAGTCATCTTGTGGAGGCCATCCTGTGATGATGTCACACAAGGGCGTGGCACCACCTAGGCTTTTATTATATAGGATAGGTAGGTTAATGAGAAAGAGAGAGAGAGAGAGAGAGAGAGAGATTCTCTGATTTTGTTTTCATTTTACTCAAAGATCCTATTTGCCAATCCTACTCTCACACACTTTACACTTTACTGTCAAACTGTCCTTCTAGCATTTTTGTTTTTGTTTTTAATACAACAGGCAAGCTTTTGCCTCAGGGTATTTATACAAGTATTCCCTGGGATGTTCTTCAGCATGGTTCATTGTCTTATTTACTTCAAGTCTTTCCTTATACATCTTCTCAGGGAGTCTTATATTAATACGTTTATTTAAAAAAAAATCCAAGTTTCCCAATTATCAAGCATTAGATTTCCAAAAGATATTTTTATCTTTTTCTATAGTTTTGCTTAAACATTTTAAGACTCTTCTTAATCTGCTTATTTATTATGTCATTATTAGAATCAACTACTAACCATATGAACTCAGAGATTCATATCCATTTTGTTTACTAATGCATCTCAAGCACTTAGAAGAATATCTGGAAAGTAGAAATGGTCAATAAAAACTGAACGAATATGACATCAATTTAACAGATTAGAAGGACATCCCACATTAAAATATATTACTTATAAATGATAAGAATATGTTTAAAAGGCTCTATAAAGAGAAAGATAGGTGTAGGTATCCCATTTTCATTTTCCCACACACGTAGAACATAAAGATTGTGACTGCTGTGGCAGTCTGGATTCGTTAAAAGAACAGGTCCCAGAACCCAGCCACTGACAAGCAGAGCAAACATTTTTGTCTTCTTGTATAACAAAAGAAACTGACCCATGGTGAGGTGGGACTCCAGGGAAAATAACAATTCTGAGTTGAAAACTGTAAAGAAATTTAGCAGGTGATATGCAGGCACTGTTTTGTGGCAGAAAAAGAAAGAGTACATATATCCATGTTAGTCCCAAGGAGGAAGCCACTATTTGGAAGCCTGGAAACAAGCAGGACTTTGGGAGTCATGCAGGTATGGGATAAAAATAGTATACATTGAAATGCATCAAAACATAATCCTTCCCTGTAAAATCATCTGCCAAATTTTGATGCCACACAGAGAGGCCAAGGAGCTAAGTAAACTTAAAATTTTAAAATTGACAATACAGTATTACTGAATATACTCTATGTAATTCAAGCATGATAAAAGAAAGAAAAAAATCACACCTAAATATTTTTTAAAAGACTAATTAAAACTAAAATGAAACTTTCAAAGTGTCAAGAGAAAAAAAAGATGTTACCTTCAAAGAAACAGCAATTAGATTGACAACTACTTGTCAATAGAAATGAAGAAAGCCAGAAGACAGTGAAATGATAATTTTAAAGAATTAAGGTCATTTTTTAAAAGACACCCTAAAATTTGTTCCAGCAAAAGTTTTTTAAAAATAAGGTTAAGTAAAGATTTAACAATGACTGCAAACAAATATATATAATTAAAAAGAAGCAGACTTGTAATAGGAATACATAAAATTTCTGAGACATGGAAATGAACTGCAGATAGAACCAGAAATGCAAGAAAAAAGAAAAAAAAGCACCAGAATGAGTACATTTATGATTAAACTAGAGACCCGGTGCATGCATGGGGGAGGGGTGTTCCTCAGCCCAGCCTGCGCTCTCTTCAAATCTGGGACCCCTTGGGGTATGTCCAACTGCCAGTTTAGGCCTGCCTGTGGGATTGGGCCTAAACTGACAGTCAGACATCCCTCTCACAATCCGGGACTGCTGGCTCCTAACCACTCGCCTGCCTGTTTGCCTGATTGCACCTGACCACTTCTGCCTGCCATCCTGATCCCCCCCTAACCGCTCCCCTGCTGGCCTGATCACCCCAATTGCCCTCCCCTGCTATCCATCTTGTGGCAGCCACCTAGGCTTTATTAGGGTTTAAAATAATATTGACTTTATTAAAAATAATAGTAATCTTTCATTAGGGTTTACAAGTAAGCAGGACTATGATACATTAAAAAAATGATAGGCAGAAAAGTTAACTGGAATAAAAAAGTTAAATGATCGCTGTAGCCGGCTTGGCTCAGTGGATAGAGTGTCAGCCTGCAGACCATAGGGCCCCGGGTTCGATTCCAGTCAAGGGCACATACCTTGGTAGCAGACTCTTCCCCAGCCCCAGCCCTGGTCAGGGCTCATGTAGGAGGCAACCATCAGTCGATATGTGTTTTTCTCACATTAATGTTTCTATCTTTCTCTCTCTTCCACTCTCCCTAAAAATCAATGGAAAAATATCCTCGGATGAGGATTAACAAACAAACAAAAAAAGTTAAATGATTTAAGAATATAGGGTAATTGGTAAAAGTGTATATTAGGTACAATAACTCAAGCATTAATATCTTAATCTAGAGAAACTACTAAAAGAAGAGTAAAAAGATGTATAACAAAATATTTAAGAGAGGAGAAATGGTATAATATAAAATAATAGATTCATGAATTACTACATCATCATTAGTTATATTACTATATATTCTATACCTTTTTTTCTAATATAAGAAAGAGTTTAAGAAACCAACTACTATTACTGCATTATTTTTAATATGCATTTTTATTGATTTCAGAGAGGAAGGGAAAGGGAAGGAGTGAGAGAAACATCAATGATGAGAGAGAATCATTATTCAGCTACCTCCTGCACACCCCCTACTGGGGATAGAGCCTGCAACCTGGGCATGTGCCCTAGACTGGAATTGAATCCAGGACCCTTCAGTCCACAGGCTGATGCTCTATCCACTGAGCCAAACTGACTAGGGCTGTTACTGCATTTTAATTCAGGTCTTCTTATATTTCTAAGCAATTATACTTTACATATTTCAAAATATATTAAAAATTCAATAAATATTGTTCCTGTGATACTGATAGTTATTCACAGGATGCTTTAGGTCTGACCACTGGCTCACTCTCATGTGCATCACTTGGCATTCCAAAATAGTGGCTGACGGTAAGATTCTATCTGGATTGTCCCAACGTATCTCTTGCAAAAATGCAGCTTTTTTTTCTTGTCTTTAGGAAGAAGTAATTTTGAGTCTTCCTTCAAAATGATATCATCCATTTTACATAAAACAACATTTTACAAGCTTTATAATGTATGAAAGGATTGCAATTATGAATTCTAGATATGGTACAGATCTCTCTCTCTCTCTCTCTCTCTCTCTCTTTGATTTGGTAATGTCACTTGCAGACTTCTGTCTCATTATTTTGGAAGACTATTCTTATCATTTTAAAAAGGAACATTACAATTTTGATGTTTCTTTATTACTTAGTTGTGCTTGTTTTCCCCAAATTTATTGGCTTGCATGGAATTGAGTTTGGCTAATTACAATTATATTCTAAATCCGTAAGACATTCTGACATTGTATGTAAACTCTAAAAAAAATTATCACTATCCTTTTCACCTGAAAATCCTAAATATTCTTTCAAATAAAATTGAATGTAAAGAAACTAAAGAGCAAGTCATCAAGTTTTGATAAAGATAGAAAATTATCGAAACTCATCCCCTATGAAACAACATGAATAACCAAAAGAAATCTGGTTCTACAGGAAGGAGAAAGGTGGGAGCTTACACTGTGGATTCAGGTTCTTTAGTGTATAAATTCAAGATTTACTATAAACTTTAAAGATTTTTAAAGAATAAAATAAAAAACAATGAAAAGCCAGTAACTTGAAACATTTACAAATGCAAAATAATGACATTCTGGATAATTATAAATGACTAGATGCCTGATGCATGAAATTCGTGCAAGAGTAGGTCTTCCTTCCCCCAGCTGCCAGCACCAGCTTCTCTGGCACCCGGGACCCAGGCTTCCCTCACAACCCCGGCTTTGTCTGCAAGGTCATCTGGAAGGATGCCTGGTCTAATTAGCATATTATGCTTTTATTATTATAGATGATTAATAGGACAAAGACAAGTGGTAAAATAATGTAGATCACCTACTTTTGCATCAGGTTCACAGTGTATGTTTTCCCATCAATTACAATGTTGTAAGACACCTAGCAGGAGAGTATATTTAAAAAAACAACAAAAAAACAAAGCAAAGTGAGAAGAATATTAAAAAGGAAAACGATCATTTTATATTGACAATAATTGCACTCTAAAACATACTACTACAATAAAAAGAAAATATAATTTAATATTGATGTATTTCAATTTCTGCATACTGAAATACATTGTTTTAACCATTTTCTTCTACTAATATCTGAAAATTAATGTGTCCTAATTTATGAAGGATATTTCATTTGAATAAATTATTCTATAATGCAAATTTATTTAAAGTCATACTATTAAAGCTTTAATTTCACTGTATTCTCATCCCCATTGTTGACTTTGAGAGTCTATCAGTGTACTACTTATTTCAATGTAGATGATCTTTGATGTCTGGCTGCCTTTAAGACACTTTCTTGGCTTTGGTATTCTGATTTCACTGTCAAGGTGTTACTTGATTTTTATATACTCTGTGGTGTGATACTTGATCTAGGGATTCTTTTAAAAATCATTTCACAGTTAATATATGTTTCATACAATCTCTTCAGGTTGTTTTTTTTTCTTTTATGCCAGGAATTCCAATTATTCTACACTTGACCCTCTAATTCTATTCTTTTTTTCCCTCTTAAGCCATTTTTATGTTGAATCTACTTGAGTCTCTTCAGTTGTCTGGTCTACTGTTGATTCTTGATTTACTTATTTATTTTTTACTTTCATATTATTTAATATCTACAAGTTCCATTCAGTTATTTTTAAAAATAAACTAGCCCTTTTAAGTAGAATATTTTCTCCTATGATTTTTTAAAATATATTTTTATTGATTTCAGAGAGGAAGGGAAAGAGAGAGAGAGAGAGAGAGAGAGAGAGAGAGAGAGAGAGAGAGAGAAACCTCACTGATGAAAGAGAATCATTGATTGGCTGCCCTCCTGTGTGCTCCACATTGGGGATCTAGCCTGCAACCTGGGCATGTGACCTGACCAAGAATTGAAACATGACCTACTGGTTCATAGGTAAACACTCAACCACTGAGCCATGCCAGCGAGGCTGATCTTTATTTATTAATTACTAGAGGCCCGGTGCACAAAATTCATGCGGGGGTGGGGGAGTAGGGTCCCTCAGCCTGCACACCCTTGCAATGCAGGACCGCTGGCTCATAACCACTCTCCTTCCTGCCTGCCTGGTCTCCCCTAACAACTCTGCCTGCCTGGCTAATTGCCCCTAACTGCCTCTGCCTGCCTGCCTAATCACCCCTAATTGTTCCCCTGCCTGCCTCATGCCCCTAACTGCTTGCCTGCCTGCCTGATTGCCCCTAACCACTTGCCTGCCTGCCTGGTTGCCCTAACTGCTCTCCTGCCTGCCTTATTGGCCCTAACCACCTCTAGCTGCCTGCCTGGTCACCACTAATGCTTGCCTTCCTCCCTGATCGCCCCTAACCGCCACAGGCACTGGGCCCCAGCTTTGTCATGAAGGACATTTGGAATGACATCCAGAAGACGTCCAGTCTATCCAGTCTAATTAGCATATTACCCTTTTATTAATATAGATAATACTTATAAACATACTCTGTTTCATATTATTTGTAGCATTTGTTGGATCAATAAGCCTTATTGGTTCAAAAAATACTACAAATCCCTTACTATGTATTCAGCACTGTTCTAAACATGGGATAGAGACATTAACAAAATAGTTAAATTTTGTTCCTCATGAATTTGACAGTTGCAGAAAAGTGATTTTTTCTGCCAATCTTATTTTATTTTATTCATATTTAATCTAGTAAAGGTTGGTTTAAGATATCACCCTCTTAATACATCTGTGTATATTTTCTAATATAACCAAACAATTACATATATATTTTTGTATAAAAATAAAACTTTTAAAATACTCCTAATGTCTTCACCTCCTTTTCTATGAAAGAGAAATTTAATGTCTAATTTAATTTAAAATTCTCATAAATATAAGTCTTTTAAAATGGTATATTGAATATTTTAAGCTTATATTATCTCCATTAGGGTGACAAGTGGGTAGTTGCTAAGAAATATTTGCATTCAACTTACCAGAACATTTATGACTCAACTAGAAAGAAAATTAAGATTGGGTATATATACAAAAACACTTCTCACTTCTTTAGAAATGATTCCAGAAATTAGTAAAAGAGATACAAATCTAATTATTTCAAAGAAAAAAGACATTGGACCAATAACTACTAAGATGGCATAAAATAACAGCCTTAATGATGAACATATTTGCAATAAAATTTTTTTAAAATCATCACATAACCCTTCATTAAATCAAAAGATCATCATCCCATGCAAGGAATCCTTAGGCTTACTTAACAACAACAATTTTCTCCAAATTTAGCCTGGTGAGAGAGTGAGGAAAGAACCTCTGGATGGATCAGGTCAGTGATTGTTCAAACACTCAAGGAGGAAACAAATTTAGAAGATTGGACTTGGGGCTTTGATAATAAGCATCACTGCACAATATGTCTATGAAACATTATTAACGTTGGCTCATTTTCAAAAGGTTTTTATTTTGTCAAGAAAAATTGGGTATAAATATAAAATTCAGCAAGTGTGCATGGATAAAATATGCCAGAATTACTTCTTAGGAATGAAATAATCGCATTGTTTTTTAGATTCTGAAGAAAGAATAGTGCTTGCTTACATTTGTTTCAACTCCATCTCTTGATGTTGACCGTTTTTTCTCTGGAATTATAATTTGCACAGGTAGTAGTAGTTCAGAATCTGTAAGATGCAAAATGTTTTGTTAGAGCAACACGCATCGCCCCATATCTCCTCCTCTACAGTCATCATAGTCTGTACACCGCCACTTATTTTTGCTATCTTGTTCAATACCCTCAATCTACAGTCTTTCTGGAATTACAAGGCTTTGTAAAGAGGAAGAGGTTTATTGTCTTAGGAGTTGTGGGCGGTTCACAGTAATTCTGAGGCAATAGGAGCAAGCATCTCAGTACATATAAACTTGGGTCCTTTTGACCTTCCAATGACAATGTCCAGGGGTAAAAAATGCAGAGCAGTTTATAAAACACTAATCGTGAGGCATCCACTCAAGCCATGCATGGCATCTCCCCGCTCCCCCTCCCCACCTTTCCACCCCCCATTGTCTCAAGACGAGTGGGAAAGCCCCCTGGCGAACAATGTGGCTGTTGTCTGGGGAAGGTGGCAATGCTGGAGTGGACTGGTGCTCACAGAGTTGGAGCCCCCACAACAAAGCACTTCCCCAGAGATAGCCAACCTCTCAGAGGAAACCCAGAGGAAAGCTGACATGCCTGGCAGGTCAAAGAGGGGCGGGCTGAGTGGGTAGTGCACGTACCACTACTGTCTGTCTGGAGCCCGATGAGCCCAAAGAGCAGAAACAGAAACCTCAGCATGGCTCGATGTCCGGTATCCCAACCCCAATAATGGCAGTTGCCTTGGCAAAAGGCAGTTGGCAGCGCGAGGAGAACCCTGCGGAGCAAAGATGGGTGGGGAGCGAACGCGCTGTGAGCTGTCGGACATGGGCGGTCTAGGCCCCTGAATCTATGCAGTAGGAGGCTTTGACTCATTTTGACGCCTCTTTGGGGCAAAAAACAAACAGAAAACCCAGCAGAATACTTCCAGATGGTAGAAACAGCTAATGAACAGGAAGATGCATATACACTTCTTAAGTGAACTGAAGTTATACATACATGTATTATTTTCCACAAATCACAGGCGCACTGCTCCACTAATATTCAAGTGAATAAATAGGTGTAATTAGCACCTACTTAGATTAAGAAATAAAATGTAGAGCCACCAATGCCCCCAAATTGCCCTCTGACAATCATTACTTCTAACAGAATAGATTTGTTTTGTCTGTTTTGGAACTCCATAAGAATGGAAGAAATCGCCATGTACTCTTTAATGTTTGAGTTCTTTCATTATAATGATTATAATTTCCAAACATGTTGTAAATACCAATAGTTTTTTTTGTTTGTTTGTTTTGTTGGAGCGATTACACATTGAATGAATATAACACTGTCTGTTTTTCCATTTTATTGTTAAAATGTGGTTCACTTATAGTTGTGGCTATTAAAAACCATAGTTGGTTATTTTCTTTCTTATACAGGTCATAGGGTGAACATATGAATTTTCATTGAGTACATTACTAAAGTAAAGTTGCCTGATCACAGAGTGTGATCTTCCAGGATACTTCCAAAGTGTTTTACATGCTGAGAATTACACTTTACATCAATGCCTGTAGTTTTTTGTTTGTTTTTATTTTTCATTTTATTCATGTTGGTGAACCTATAGATGCCCTGCATTTGGTTTTAATTTGCATTTCATCATTGTTAATTAAGTTAATTGTTAATTATTAAGTTAACAATAACAGTTTTATATGTTTATTGACCATTTATAAAGCTTCTTTTGTACATGTCTATTTGAGACGTTGGTCCATTTTTAAATTGAATGGCCTTGTCTCTTTCTAATTATATGTAAAATAAATGTGGTCTAGATATGATTCCTTTGTTGAACATAATAATTGCAAATGTCTTCTATGCCAGGGCCTATTTTCAATGGGTTTTTATAGATACATATTTATATTCAGAAATTTACCTTTTTATCAATTTGCTGGAATTTTTATATGTATCCTACCATGGATATTGAATTATATAAATTGAAATGACCATATAGTTTTCTCTATTTTCTGTTAAAATTATAAATTAAAATTAGTGTTTTTCCAGTGTTGAAACACACCTGTAATTCCTGGAATATACCTTATTTGGTTATGATGTGTTATCCTTTTAACTTTTGCTGGATTGATTTAGCAGCATTTTGTTTAGGATTTTTGCATCGATATAAGAAACATCTGTCTGTAATTTTTATTCTCATATATTGTCAAATTTTGTATCAAATAGATGATGGCTTCATAAAAGAAATTGAGAAATATCCCTTTCTCTATTCTTTGAAAGAGTTACTATGATTTGAATAATTCTTTATTTATGTTTCTTATAATTTAGAAATGGAGCAATTTAGACTTAGAATTTTCTCTTTGAGAGAGTTGGATTTTTTCTTATGAATACAATTTTAAAAAATATTCAGATATTCTCTTTTTCTTTGTGATGAAATGTGTACATTTCTCTAATTAGTTAGATGCATTGGCCAGCTATTCATAATATCCTTCCTTCCTTCACTATCCTATTGATTTCCGTGGAATCAGTAGAGATAGCCCATTTTTAAAATTTTCTATGTTGCTAATTTTGTGGGGTTTTTTTCCCTATTTATTTATGATCAGTAATTTTTGGAGTTTTCATTTTTATTTATTTATAAAGAACAAAGTTTTGGATTTTTAAATTTTTTCTATTATGTTTATTTTCTATTTCTTTTATTGTTTTAAAAAACATTATCTTTATTGTTGAAAGTATTACTAATGCCCTCTTCCCCCTCCCCCCAACACCCCTACACCAACCCGCTTCAGTCTGCTCCTGCCCTTTCCCCAGGCCTTTCATGCACCATTGTCTATCCATGGGCTATGCAAATATGCATATCAATTCATTGGTTAATCTCTTCCCATTCCCCCGCTCCCTCTGAAATAGATCAGTCTGTTGCATGTTTCAATGTCTCTGGATCTTTTTTGTTTGTTACTTCATTTTGTTCACTAGCTTCCACATATAGGCGAGGTCATGTGATGCTTGTCTTTCTCTGACTGCCTTATTTCACTCAGCATAATACTCTCTAGGTCTCTCCATGCTGTCTCAAAGGGTAAGAGATCCTTCTCTTTTACAGCTGCGTAATATTCCAGTGCAAATGTACCACAGTTTTTAAATCCACTCATCTATTGATGGGACCTTGGGCTGTTTCCAAATTTTAGCTATTGTAAACTGTGTTGCTATGAATCTAGGGGTACATATTTTCTTTCTGATTGGTGTTTCTGGCTTCTTAGGATATATTCCCAGGAGTGAGATCACTGGATTAAATAATAGTTTCATTTTTAATTTTTTGAGGAAACTCCACACTGTTTTCCATAGTAGTTCTATAATCTGCATTCCCACCAGGAGTGTACTAAGGTTCCTTTTTCTTCACATTCTTGCTAGCTCATGTTGCTTGTTGATTTGGTGATGATAGCCACTCTGGCAGGTGTGAGGTGATACCTCATTGTCATTTTAATTTGCATCTCTCTGATAATTAGTGATGTTGAGTATTTTTTCATATGTTTCTTAGCCATCTGTATGCCCTCTTTGTAGAAGTGTCTATTCACTTCTTCTGCCCATTTTTCAATTAGATTGTTTGTCTAACTTTTGTTGTTGTTATGAGTACTTTATATATTTTGGAAATTAACCCCTTATCAGATGTATCATTGGCAAATATGTTCTCCCATGCAGTGGGTTCCCTTTTTAAAAATTTTGTTTTATTGCTTAAAATATTACAAAGAGTATTACATATATCTCCTTTTTTTTTCTCCCCTTGACTGTCCATTGCCTTAGGAGCTGTATCAGTGAAGAAATTGCTTCGGCATGTGTCTGTGATTTTGTTGCCTTTGGATTCCTCTAGTATTTTTATGGATTCCAGTCTTACATTTAAGTCCTTTATCCATTTTGAATTTATTTTTGTGTATGGTGTAAGTTGGTGGTCTAGTTTCATTTTTTTGCATGTATCTGTCCAATTTTCCCAACACCATTTATTGAAGAGACTGTCTTGACTCTATTGAATGTTCTTGCCTCCTTTGTCAAATATTAATTGAGCATATTGGTTCGGGTTGATTTCTGGGTTCTCTATTCTAGTACATTGATCTATATGTCCATTCTTGTCCCAGTACCAGGCAGTTTTGAGAACAGTGGCTTTGTAATACAGCTTGATATCTGGTATTGAGATCCAACCTATTTTGTTCTTCTTTCTCAGGATCGCTGCAGCTATTCAGGGTCTTTTTTTATTCCAGATAAATTTTTGGAGAGTTCGTTCTAGGTCTGTGAAATATGCCATTGGTATTTTAATTGGGAGTCCATTGAATTTATAGATTGCTTTGTGTAGTATGGACATTTTAATGATGTTGATTCTACCAATCCATGAACATGGCATCTTCTTCCATCTGTTTATGTCTTCCTCTACCTCTTTTTTCAACGTCCTGTAGTTTTCTGAGTACAGGTCTTTTACCTCTTTAGTTAAGTTTATTACTAGGTATCTTAATTTTTTTTGGTGTGCTGGTAAATGGGTTTGCTTTTTTAGTCTCTCTTTCTGTAAGTTCACTATTGGTGTATAGAAATGTCATAGATTTCTTGGCGTTAATTTTGTATCCTACTACATTGCCGAATTAATTTAAGTCTAATAGTTTTTTGATGGAGTTTTAGGGGTTTTTATGTACAATATCATGTCATCTGCAGATAAGGACAGTTTTACTTTCTCTTTTCCAATTTGGTTGCCTTTTATTTCTTCTTCTTGTCTAATCACAATGGCTAATACTTCCAGTACTATGTCAAGCAGGAGTGGTGAAAGTGGGCATCCCTGTCTTGTTCCTGTTCTTAGGGGAAATGGTTTTAGTTTTTGCCCATTGAGTATGATGTTCGTTGTGGGTTTGTCATATATGGCTTTTATTATGTTAAAGTATGATCCTTCTATTCCCACCTTCCTGAGAATTTTTATCAAAAATGGGTGTTGGATTTTGTCAAACGCTTTTTCTGCATCAATTGATATGACTATGTGGTTTTTATCTCTCAATTTGTTTATGTGATGTGTTACGTTTATTGATTTGCGGATATTGTACCATCCTTGCATCCTTGAGATAAATCCTACTTGGTCATGGTGTATGATCTTTATCATGTACTGCTGAATCCTATTTGCTAGGATTTTGTTGAGGATTTTGGCATCTATGTTCATGAGGAATATTGGCCTATAATTCTCTTTCATTGTGTTGTCTTTATCTGGTTTAGGTATGAGGGTGAGGCAGGCTTCATAGAATGAGCTTGGAAGTGTTCCTTCCTCTTGAATTTTTTGTATTAGTCTGAGGAGGATAGATTTTAATTCTTCCTTGAATGTTTGGTAAAACTCCCCTGTGAAGCCATCTGGCCCTGGGATTTGTTTGCTGGAAGATTTTTGATGACTGCTTCAATTTCTTCCATAGCTATTGGCATATTGAGATTTTTAGATTCTTCCTGATTGAGTTTTGAAAGGTTGTATTTTTATAGGACTACGGCTATTTCCTTCAGGTTGTCTAGTTTGTTGGAGTAGAGTTGTTCATAGTATTTTTTAACAATCATTTGTATTTCTGTGGAGTCTGTTGTTATTTAACCTCTATCATTTCTGATTTTGTTTATTTGGGTCCTCTCTCTTTGCTTCTTGATGAGCCTGGCTAGAGGTTCATCAATCTTGTTTATCCTTTCAAAGAACCAGCTCTTTGTTTCATTGTTCTTTTGTATTG